ATTGAGAGATGGAATTGGGGACGGGGGAAAATTCAGACCAGTCCAGACGCAACATAAGCTGCATCGACCTCCCGTGACATGGGACAGCGATGAGATGGCCGGCCCCAGCCATCATCCGTCCAGTCGGCGGCCCGGAGTCTTGCCGCTGTGGGGGGCTGGGCAGTGGTGGGTATCTGTGGGGCCGCAGCTCTCAACCAAGCGGGGTTACGGTCTGGACCTTATCGATAAGACCAGCCTATCAGCTCATTGCCCCGCGTCGTGTCTTCGGAGGCCATCCGCCATGCGAGCTTTTCAATATCATAAGCGTTGGGTCAGACTGGCGTAGTAGTAATGACTTGTAGGTTGATACTGCATAGTGCTCTCCTCCGCATACCCTAGTAGTCACAATGATTCCGGTCCCGACCCCCTTTTCCAGTTAGTCGCGCCCATTCCCAAGTGTCCAATACCCAGCGCAAGCCAATGTCCCTGACAGCTAACCCAAAGACCTATCCCAAAGGCTCACAGCAGTCCTCTCATACACCATAGACGGTCAAGGTTGATAAGACAAAAAAGGCTGATGGGATTCCCGGAGTGGCGCTCCACCTCTGCACGTCCGTCCATAGCTCGAGGACGTTGCATTCGATTTCCTGTATGCGTGTGTCGAAGACTGGTGTGCGGACAGAAGCTCAGGGAAACGCAGTGGCTCTGTCATTTAGAACTCCACAAAGAGGTGGCCGTAGCTGGACATGTGTTAGCATAATTCTCTCATTGGACTGACGCAAGAGAAGACTCACTCGTCCGAGCCAGGTTGACCGTATCGTTCGGTCTCCTCTGGATACCTGTCAAACTGGCTTGCATCTCCAGCGCCCGCTTTGACCGGTGGCGTGTATGGCGCGTCGATGTCTTTCCTGGCCAGCCGATCCCAGGTGACCTCGGCAAACCACGGGTGGCTCTTCACGTCCTGTGAGCCTCCGTAGAGATTCCCCAATCGCTTGGTCAGATCGGCCGTGATCAGTCGTTCCAGCAGGTCTTGGGCGTCAGGGTTGATGTAGGCCGGGTACTTGACCTTGCCCTTCATGATGTTTTCGTAGATCTTCATCGGAGATCCGCCATCCCAGAAGGGCGTGTAGCCGCAGAGCATTTCGTAGATCAAGATTCCTAATGACCACCTGCAGCACAGATGTAAGCATGTGATATGGCTTGACTTGGCGCATTGGGGCACGATCCAAATACATACCAATCGACCGACTTGTTGTACCCTTTGTTGGACACGACTTCTGGTGCCAGATAGTCGGGAGTACCGCAGAGCGTCCACGTCTTGTCCGGCACACGCTTCGCAAATCCGAAGTCTGTTATCTTCAGATGGCCGTGCCGGTCAAGCAGCAGGTTTTCGGGCTTCAGGTCTCGGTATATTATGTTCCTCGTATGGAGATATTCCAGAGCCAGCGTTACTTCGGCCGCGTAGAACTTGGCGACCGGGTTGGGGAAACGCTGATGGATGCCTGCGTCAGTATATACTGCCAATGGTCGCGGAAGTAGAGGGGAGGGGTTCGAGGCATAACTTACACCAGACTTCCTCAGCAGAGAAAACAGCTCGCCGCCCTCGACGAAGTCCATGACCATGTAGAGGTTCTTGGCATCCTGGAACGTGCCCCAGAGGGTGATCAGGAACGGGTGTTTGACCTCGCCGAGCATCTTCCGCTCATCGTTGGTGTGCTCCACCTGCTTCATCTTCACAACTTGCGCCTTCTTCAACACTTTGACGGCGTAGAATCGCTGGTTATGCCGCGACTGAACCAGGTGAACGCGACCAAAACTACCTGTCCCGAGCGTCCTCAGTATCTCGAAATCGGCTAGCGAATATTTGCCCTTGGTCACGCGGGGTTGGTCTTGGATCTGCTGCGGTTGAGACATGATGGGAGGATATTGCTGGTTGCTGGGCGCACCGTTGTTGGCCGGTGGTACGGGAAAGCTGGACGATATTTGATGTTGATAGGACTGCGACGAGCCGTCATGTTCTGGAGGGTTGATGAGGTTCGCGATCCTCGGTAGGTTCTGCGGCTGTGCTCCGGGAGAGGGCGTCGGTTGGGGCGGCGTCGGCGACACATAGGGGTGTTGGAGAGGGGGGTTCTGCATTGGTGGTTTGTCCGCCGGTTGCCCTTGCTGGCCCTGGTAGCTCGGCTGGCTCTGAATACTCTGCTGGCTCTGGTGGTTCTGTCCTTGATGGATCGCGGGGCCGAGCTGGGAAGTCGAAGTCGCCGATGCAGCGGTAGATTGCGTTTGCAAGGCAGGGACGGCGCTCGAGTCGAAGTTCTTGGAGGCAGTAGGTGTGACGGGGCTATTCGGCTGGCTGGTGTTCGACGGATCAGAGTTTTGATCCCTGGTCCGCTTCTTCTTTAGGAAGCCGAGAGAAGGCATCAAGACGAGAGGCTGTTCGCTGCTCGGCGGAAGGAGAGAGCGGGGGGTGGCGGCTCCAATTGGATAATCTGGGCGCCGCAGATGCGATAATCAGTCGCAAGTGACCGATCAGAATATGCCTCGTGTAGAAGATCGGACCAGGCAGGTTGAGACAGGACGGGGAGACTGATTGGTAGGCGAAGGTTAAGGTTCGGATGATGCACAGTTGCGGCTCCGCCAAACTATGATCAAGACGTATTGGATCGCGCTGGTCGTCTAAGGATGAAATGCACTGATTATCCTCCCCTTGTTTGTACGACTGCAGGCTGCCTGTTGGAGATTGAAGAGTCTCAACTTCCAACTTTGTCGAAAACAAAGAGAGAAAGACAGCGCTTTGTGTCCCTAGCGATGGAATGCAAGTTGGTCTTGGATCCCACCAAGAAGACGTCCGTGCCTCGCGGCCCTTTGGATTCTCCCTTGATTGCTTCACTCCACCGATCTTCTGTTTTAGCGTCTGATTGGCGTCAGCTACGAAGGCTTGTGGCGATGGTACTAGACGGATCGTTGTTGACAGCTACCGAGTATAGAGATTTGTATGTGCGGTCGTTTATTGATCTTCACTTCCTAAGGTAGTTCCGAAGAGGCAGCCACAGACCAGAGACCCGGCAGGCAAGTATGTTTCGAATCGTGAAGCGTCCAGCACGGGAGGAGTCAATGGGCCGCAGGTATGGAGACGTGGTGTCGATAACGCACGATTGCGTCAATAACGATTCGCAAGTAAGGTAGGTATCGTCAGGATAGGATCGCTGAAGGCGCAAGGATCCTTAGGCAAGCGGGAAAGGTACGAAATGCGATTGAAGGCTTCCTACCACACAGCTCAATCCGTCATGCAGAGAAGCAATCGGCGAGGCAGACAATGGATGTGAGGATTGCAATTGCTGGTGAGAACCGAGTCCATCGATCGAGGATGCAAGCAGAGCAAGAGCTCTCACTCCAGAATCCAGATGGATCAACGTAAAGAGGGGCAGCGCACATCTGTGGATGGCGGAGGTAAATTTGACCGGGATCACTGGAACTTGCAGAGTCCAAGAGGGCGATCTGCCTTGAAAATGACATGGGTTTAGCGCTCAACTGGCGCTGATCTAACCATCGTCATTCCTTGGGACTTGTTGTTTTGGCAGGGTTGCGTCTCTCCAACACCGCTATCATTAGACAATAATTCCCAACAGAGCGGTAGACCATACGGGCCTCATTCCACAGCTTGCCTCGGTTGACGATTGCTCTTTTATTGCCATCCGCATTGGGGTTGGACCAGACTCGATGGACGGTCGAGACTCATGGCTCTCAGAGACTCAGGCACAGAATCATTTCATTGGATAGACCACCATCATGCCATCCACTCACGTGACGCCGCTTCAAACCTCCTGTGCCTTGACCTCTCGCGTTCCGCGTCTTGGATGCCCAACAACCAACGACTTCAGGCGGTTCATCATGACCATTACGTTCTCCCTCTGCTACTCGGAGCCGCAATACTTGCCTCTCCTCGGAAACAGCATGTTCAACAATGGTTAACGCCCGGTATTCTCCTCGGGCGCCACGAGCGCCGGCTTCTTTGTTGGAAGGAGGCCTTTACGGACAGGTCAAAGCCAGTACCTAGAATTGCCGCCCTTGATTCTTTGCCACGTCGATATTTGCTCTAAAAAACAGCCACCACCTTGCTTCCGAGTATGGAGAAAGTCAAGGCCAGTACAACGACGGCGAGATAGGCTCATCTGGAAGGGGTCTTTGTGTGGAAGTTAAAGATAGCCGTGAGGAAACTCGGTGGTCTTGACGTCCGACGGAAGCATCTGGGCGAGAAATCAGAGCTCACTTGCCTTCTCTTCGCACTTACACGCCGGGATTGGAGTCGGCATTTGGGCTGGTCGGGTTGGTGGACAAGTCAGGCACACGCTCTCCGGCCAGGCTTAACGACATAGGCCCAGTGAAGGCATCCTGGTTGTCCGACACACATCAGCTTTACGGGTCGGCTCTCTGTGGCCAGATGCTCAGACGAGCCAAGTCCTAGGGCGGATGAAGTCTAAGTCCCCAGTGTCGACCTGTCATCGATTGCGAGATACGGAGACTTGCCGGCGCAAGATGCGAGGACATGATCGAACAACACTCCTTTATTCATCTCACCACGCGTCCGCTGCTAGTGGCCCTAACTGGATCTTTACGGACGAAATTGCTTCAGCTACTCTCGTTTCTCCCTCCTGCACCCTGTCCCGCGGAATACTCTTCTGCTAGGGACCTTGAGATGCGCAACCGAGCAGGAACAAGTCTAGCTACACACAGGAGGCAGTGGCTTGCCCATAGGCTGAGGGCTTTAGCTCCTGCTGATGGGAAGGGTACAGTTTCGCCGTAAGGCTGCAACGCTGCATGAGGGCGAAGATGGCCGTCGACCGGGTTCCAATGCAACAGTGGAGGAGATACTCGGCTCGACAGCCTTGTTGTGGCAGGGATATCAAGTTTGAGCGCAATCTCGAACCAGCAGTGGACCCGATCATAGATCATCCCAGCTGTTGGGTAGGCCGCCTCTCCACATAGGGGCCCCCGTTCTCTATATTCACCCCATCGCATGCATCGGTCGTTTAGCTCAGTGGTTAGAGCGTGTGCTTTACATTATATAATATATATATATATATATATATATATATATATATATATTGAAAAATGTCGCACAAGGTCGCAGGTTCGACCCCTGCAACGATCATTTTGCTTTGCTTTTGCTACCTTCTCAGCAGCTGCATCGCCTTTAGGTCTTTTCGTTGTGAAGCACAACGAAGTTTCGAGTCTCATTCCAGTTGTCCGGGAGACCTAAGCTTAGGAGCTTCGTTTTTCTATTAACAACGCCGCCCTCTATTACAAAACTGAAGGGGGATCTCTCTAAGCTGTTCACAGATACAATGTGGGTACGGGGGCGCTAGCGGCCCATGGCATCGCTCTGCTGTTCCGCTTGCGACAGTCAATCCATCCTTAAGAAGGACTTAGATGTCCAGCAAGGTCGAGGAGAGGTTGCGAATGTCGATGCTTCCTGTCAGCTTTTAAGCGGAGGAAAGAAACAAAAGAAACGGCAAAAGTGTACGACAAAGACAGGATTCGAACCTGCGCGACCGAAGCCATTAGCTTTCGAGGCTAACCCATTAACCACTCTGGCACTTTGCCTTTAGTAGTGCTTGTGGACTCGATGTCGCATCGCAAGTGTAGTTCGACTAGCACTTGATGCTCGCAATTGCCTCAAACGAGTCATGCGAAATGGAGAATGGCAAGTCAGCGACAGATATTTGTTTGCAAGTTGTCGTCAAAGAAAACGCTTTGTGTCTGCACGGCACACAGCCATTGTCCCAGCGATCGACCACGATCAACATCTGGGTGACGGGCCGTCAATACTCTCAGGAGCTTCTGTGGACTGGCCGGAGCTTCGGTATAGTTGTTCAACAATTTGCTACTATTCTCGAGGCGCTACCTACCCGTCATCAAGGCTTCGAGGAAATCCTCGCGTCGACGAAGGGCAAGTGGCGCTCTGATAGATCATGGTTGAACTGTCACGGGTGACTGTTGGGCATGGGGTCCAGATCGGCGTGCTCGCTATCCCGCCCGCAAGCAGCCCTCTCCGACACGGCCATCGCAACACATAATCATGTCACTAACTGGAGAGGCAGGACTCGCATCTTCTCTCGCCGGTCGGATGAGCTCAAAAACGCCCAATGTCCCCTCACCATCTATGCCTCCCGGAGCATAAGGCACTTCACTACTCCCATCGAAGACCGAACCCCGTACGGAGCCGGCCTGGCCCGTCTGTCTACTCGCCGGACAGCTTCATAGAGGGGAAAGGTTCCTGAACGAGAGCTAGGGATCTTGAGGGTGCGGCGGCTGTTGCTGCTACTGATACTATCAAGCACTTGCGTTCAGCAATGAGCAATCAATGCTTTGACAGTTGAGCTGCTGGCCATCAGCGTCGTCACTGGCAGGGGCATCGTCGTCGATATCGCTTGTGTTACTCCCATTAAGGTCGTCCCTATCTGGGCCGGTTGCTGAAATGACCATTGCGTTAATGTCTTCCTCTGCTGCCATAGTGGAGACAACCAGATGCCACTCATCGGTATGAGGAGCAACCGTGGGCTTGGGTAATGGATAGGGTTAGGTGTGGCCCTACTGTCAGGCATTTCCAGTTGCACAGGTCGAGCCATTGTCAGCTGATGCGTAGCCACGACATTGTCGACCTTAGCACCTCTTCGACGCCATCACTTCCTATATTGCTATTACACTGAGCACTTTCTGAGAAGACATCCTCATCATTGCACCAAGTGTCACAGAGACACAGACGCTCAGCGCCGGTATGACGGATAGTGTGCAGCGGCGCCCGCTCTCGGCGTCTAGGAGTCGTCACCGGTGGTGCACAGAGACCCTGAGCTCATGTCGTGCGGCGTGTACAGTGTAGAGGTTACAGCCAACGGTCGATCTTGTGTCTCTCAGTTCGAGACCCGCTGTGTCTCGTTGCCGTCAGCGGGGGGTGCCTTGAAGCTGGAGTCAAAGTCAGGGCGTTCTTCTGGCGGACTGACGCCTCGCTTTGGTATCAGGAGGCTTACTTCGACAAGGTGCAGTTGCTGATGCTACCCCTCTGGAGAGTCATCATCGCCTCTTACTACTCTTGGTAGCGAGGCCTGAGATCCATGTGTCGTACATAAGGTTTGTGGTGAGAAAAGACTGCCCCAATTTGTCATCGCCAAATATCGACTACCACAAGCACGAGGATCAGCATGAAGGCACTGCATACACCAACAGCGACTTTCACAACCTCTGCTGCGAATCACAGACACTCCGTCCGAAAGGAAGCGTTTCGTTTGCCAATCCGTCAAGTCTACGACGTCAGCCCGCCTTAGGACATCTCAAAAGGTGCTCAAACGAACGTCGTCGAATTCTCTCGTCCATTTCCATCAGGACTTGCATATGCCTCGCACGCGCCAAGTTTAGGGGACCGCTCTCCTAGCTAGCTAGCATAGCTGTAGGGACCCTGATCGGCGTGCCGCTCTCGTCGTTGCCACAAACGTCTCGTCAACATGATGCCCGGTGAGGGTGAAGCTTGAGCTGCATCCCCGTTGTCTACACGCAAGAACCCTGTTTTCTTCCACACAGGCAGTCGGTTGGTGGTGTGAAGACGTGCGATGGCGATGCACAACGTACCCCACTGTCCACCACACCGTCAAAGAGGAGATGCTTCCCGTCTTTGTCACCAAGCACTTTACATAGTAGTGACCTTGCAGTGCAGGAGGTTATTTATCAGTGCTTTGAACGTGGGCCATAGACGTTAAGACGACGTTAGGTTCTGACGCTAGAAGATGGGGCTCTTTCGTCGTAAGCATCCCATATGTGACAGGTCACTTCGTTCCCAAGAACGGACTGGCAACTGGACAATGGCGGCAGAGCCGCTGGTACGCGCCGTCACCGACACCCGGAGAGCCGGGCTGGGCGTTTTCCTTGTCTGACGATAAGCCGGAAGCGCCCCATGGCTCGGGTGAGGGATGACTACGCGCTGGACTGCGTTCTTGGTGGCGAGGCCAGTCTCGGCCGATACAAGCGTATACGAGGCCAAGATGGCCTCTTTAATAACGAGATATGCAGCGACTGTTACCTGACCTAACTCCTAAGGAATGTACATGCAGACCATTGATCTGCTGGCGGAGATTTTGCGATAGAGCTAAGGGGACTTTCGGGTTGATGTAACGCAATGCAGGCGCTTTTAGACACAAAGGCAGGAAAGGGTAGGGGGACATGCGTCGTTCGAGCGAGCTGGTTGGTTGGACCGTCGCCGCATCTTTCGCTGGCAGGGTTTGGCCAGACCTGCCAGACTCTTTAAAGACACAGCCAATCCACTTTTTCTCCGCTCAAAATCGACCATCAAGCATCGATAAAACGCCATCGCGAGATCTCTTTGCACTATCTAACCTTGGTCAAGGGTTGCGCGGCGCCTTGCCGCGTTGGTGGAGGGTTTGCAGTAGCCGGAGCGTTAGCGAGTGCATATCAACAGCGGTCAAGGTCGAGCAGTACGGGGCAGAGGCGAGGGCGGAATTCTGCAGCATGGTTAAAGACGGGCTGCATGAAAGGGGGGACATGGCCAAGCATCGTCTCGACTCAACTTGTGACGAGTGGAAGATTCCGCCGTCGATTTGTCGGATGTTGTTTATTGATTTGCGTACAGTTACGTTGATCACTTATATGTGGTTGAACGCTCTGTCAGCAACTTGCTGCAACCCTCCTGGGCGGATATTGCACTCGCAAGAGAGCGAAGAACCCGGGCGGGCATTGATCTTCATCTTCAAAAGGACGCGGGATGGTGACACGGCGAGCGACCGGTGAAGAAGCACCTTGAACCGCGAAAACACCAAGACATCACTGCATCTTTTTATACACTTGGCGGCCCATCGTCTTCCATATCGCAATATCTCTGCATGGCAACCACCGCCCAAACCTGCACGACTGCATAGCATGACCTGTTCCTTATCAACTACAACGACTTGGGGTCTGGTTATGGAGGGGTTAAACGACTTGGTCCAGCCACACCTATCAATATGTCCGGCAGGTCTGTCTGAATCCAGTTCCCCAACAAAGATACTCTCTTCGTCTTGATTCGTCTAAAAAGCCACGTCCCTACCCTACTTTCCCATCAACAGGGCGGAAAAACTGGCAAAATCCCCATCAGATGTTGCTATTACCAGCCCACTGCATACCATGGACGTGCATTGCATGGCATGTTGCAGGACGCAGAACAGAGATGAGGAAGGAGGGTTGCTTCGTTGTGATACATCCACGCCGACAGAAACTCGGCGAACTCGGCCAAGGAGCCTTTTCTATGAAGACCCCTCCCTCTGCTCCCGAGAGTTGTACGCCGTATTTGCGCTCCCCGGATTCACAGAAGCGTCCGTGTTCTCTTCGGGGGTTGGGATGGCGGCACCCTTCTATCAGACGGCAATTGAACGGTCCCACTTGTTGCTGTGTCTGATGTTTTGCATGCTTCTCGGAATATGGGATCTTGCTCAGGGTCCTGGCCTATCTGTTAAAGCTCGGCACCGACCGAACCTTATCGTTGTCCGGGCTGACAGAGCAGTGCACGTGTACGACAAGAGACGACTCGAGATGGAAAGAAGGCCGGCAATCGCTAGTCTGCCCAAGACCCGACAGTATTGTGTCGTCTCCTACTCCCTGACCCCAGAGTAGACAGTATCAGATCATTAGAGTTCTTACGCCAGCTCTACATGTGCAGGATCACATGAATAACAACTCACTGGACTGAAATGATGACATACATCCCCCAGCAGCGTTAAAGTTTCATCGGCAGTCCCAGGCTTGGGCAAGCAGACGTCCATCGTCCGGTGTGGCGTCAGTCGTGTAACACTCATCATGTATCCTCGGCTCCAGTAAGCGTCTGAACCGTCGGCGTGCATCACTATCATCCCATTCTGAGTCCCATCCTTAGTACAGCATACTCGTGGTAATGTTCGTGATTTCGAAGTTGCGTTGCACGTTTGACAGGATGCCAAGGTACACTAGACCTACAACTGCTAATAACGTCTCGAAACCTAAGATTGTTGAGGGAATTGCCACTGCGGAGGAAAATTCGGAGCAGCCTTGGCCTAACCGGCCGGCCTAGCACGTAGACGCTAACGCTCATGCCATATCTGACGAGTCTTGGAGTTGACTTATATGAAACGTTAG